AAAATCGCCTGGAAGCGATCCGTCGCGAAGCACTCGTGTCAAATCTCTCACTTTGGCTCTACATCCCGCGATTTTCGATGAATCGAGAGAGAAACGGAACGGTGTCGAGCGAATTTAATTTATATTAATGTCGGACGCATTAAGCGTGTTTATTACAATAATTTTGCTCTTAATCGGATATTACGATCAGCTTGTCAGCGAATATTACAAACTTCGGATATTACAACATCTAATCGGATGTCACAATTAACCTATCGCTACGTTTACACTTTGAAAATTTTCCGATTTGAAGCGTTCCCGTTCGAGTGACATGTACGTGAAACGCAAATTACGTTACTAAACTGAGTTTTCTCTTCTTACTCATTTGTTTTGCATCCTTCTGATATTTTTCTCATTTGTGTGTGTGTGTGTCTTGCCTTGCAAACCCGATTATTTGCATGAAATGATTTTCGAAACTACTAGACATTTGAGAGAATAGATATATTTCCGAGGATCCAGAGGTGTCGTCATTTATATACTCTCTAGAGAAATGCATTTAATTGCAATTAATTGCAAACAATTCGATAATACGCGTGTAGAAATGTGATACAGTTTTCAATTCTTCCTCGCGAAGCTGCCGACCGACACCGTTCCAAATTTCCTCAAGAGGATTTGTCCAGAACTCGCGACGAGGCTCGTCCTCAAAGCGGTCTCAAAGCTGAGAAATAAATGGAAAGGAGAAACGGCGGGAAAACTAAGGAGATTCTCGGCGGGAAGCTCGACTATATGCATACACGGAGGCTGTGGCACTCGATCTTTCTTTACGTAATTTACCCTGCCAGAGAAAGATCATATATATGTATAAATGTATATCCATCTACGTCCCGCTCTCTCTCCTCTCTCTCTCTCTCTCTCTCTCTCTCTCTCTCTCTCTCCCTTTCACACTTTCTGACTATTTCTTCCTTTCACGCGTTAACGCAGCTCTTACTTCTTCGTTTCTCTCTTACTCTACATCTCACTCAGTTTAATCTCTCCTCCCTCTATTTCTCTCCCCTCTTTCAATTTCTTTTTTCTTTGTGTTTCACTACGTCCTCTTACGCTGCTCACCCGTCCCGATATACTTTACGAGAGACTACACGAGACTCCTCTCTGGATCTCTACACTCTGCTCCGTCTCTTTACTCTACGTTATTCTAAGTAACTCCGTTACTTCCGCCCGTATGTACATACTCGATGTCATCTCTACGTTTCTTTATATTATACATATATATACACATGCATATACGTAACTGTGTGTGTCTCACTATATATACCCGCTGGCAAAAAGACGACCGTGTAAAACGCACGCAAAATAAGAGAAAACAAAGAAAAAAAGACAAAAAGAAACGATAAGATCAGAAATACAAAAAAATGCGATAGACGCGCTGACGAAAGAGAAATGAAAAAATGAAAACAAAATGTAAGTTGTCCATGTTGAGCAAATTTAGCATATTGGTCCTCCACGCTACTCTCTCCCAACTGGCACGAATTCTAGTTGTACGTTAGCGTTTTTTCCTCTTTTACGGCTCGTTTCTCACCTCTCTCTTTTTTCTCTCTCTTTCTTTCTGTTTCTCTCTCCTCTTTTTCTCTCTTTTCACACATTCACCAAACACGTAATTCTATATAGCTCTCTGTACTTTGACTCCTTTTCATTCTTACTTTTTCTTTTTCTCTTATCTGCCCGTTTAGCTGTCCGTCTCTGTCCTTGATTTGGATTGCGAGCGCAGACACACGTACACCAAACTCGTCCTAAGTGATGCACAAATGCCAAACGTCCGAGCGCATTGTACCAATATCGATCGCGATTGCGACCGACCGTACCGGCGCGCGGCTCCGTAAGGGAAGCGGGATAATTTTTCCAACCCTTCCCACGCGCTACTGGATCTTATAGTGGCGCGTTCACGATGTTGTGACGTTATATACGTGACCTGTTAGTCGGCGACATCGCTTCAACGTTCCGTCGCGTATGCACGATGCGCGATAAATAAATATAACGCACATTCGAGACAGCTCCTCGTTCATTCGATTCTTACCGGAGGGAGGGGTTTGAATGTGAGCGTTTTCAACGAATGTTGTGTTTGACGACCCGGCCGTACGTGTCGACGAAGAATAATCTTTGACGCATACGACGAATGAGCGTTTTCTCGAATCGCTCGGATGGAAACGCGGGCGTTTGGTCGTCACGTCGTCCCTTTCCCTGGTATACACGGAGACGCGAGGTGGTATGCGGATTTATAACGGGCCCGAGCGTACTCCCGAGTTCGAGTGCAACGGATAAATTTTCCGAAAGAACGTTGCGAGAACGTTATATCGCGACATATCGACCGGACTATACCGGGGAAAGGCGCGCTCTCTGCCAACAATCGTAGACTGACATTGTACATCAACGCTTGTCGCGATTCTTTTTCGGCTTCAACAAGATTTGTGCGCATGTGAAGATCGTGAAGTAGACAGTAGTTGACGCAACGATAGAGCTTGTCAGAGTTTGCAAAGGGAACGTTATGAATAGAGAATGTGTGTAATGATTGTACGAGTAATTAGTAATGTTACCGTCTGATTGTCTGAATTCATATATAATCGATGCATATTATCCTGAATACTGATGATTTTTAGATTATCATGAATAGCATGATATCAATGTTACATTAAGATGACACATAATTTTCGTCGACTTTATCTCATCGGTGATTATTCAGTGGCAACGTTTGTACGCGCGCGTGCGTAACGAATCTACGTTAACATATAAATTTATCTGAGATTGTGAAGATAATAAAATTGGCGTTGGTTAGATTGCTTCCGCCCTGATTTCTTCCCGCAATCTCATCGCCATCTTCATTAAAATTCATTTTTCACTTTCTACTTTAAATCGGGATAAAAAGATTCTCTCACCCTCCCGCTTTTGCTCGCGATAACTTTTTCATTCCCATTACCGACCGTATCCGTTGACAAAGATCATCTATGAAAATAATTTCCGAGCATAATCTCGGCCATCTTACCGCTGTTAGATACCTTTGTCATATTATTCGTATACACGCACGTTGAGAGAAGTGTATATGTATAACAGCACGTACTCATTCATTAACGTACATTTGCAAACTTTGTGCGAACACTAAAAGATCTTACTTACTTTCCTCATAATTTTGTTGTTAGTTAAATTTCATCCGCGCAACATGAGAATTCAATTTTCGAGGAGTGACTTTCGAGTTATCCTGTGTGCTCCTAAAATTAGCATATCGCTCGAGAATAATATAGAAATTAAAATAAATTTATATTAAGAAGTTCCCGCTGATTACAACTGTAACAAGTTTGTTTCAAAGTACCGTGGTATTAAAACAACGAAATAAGACTTGTATGATCTTCAATATGCGCATCGCTGCAGCGTGACTTGTTGCGGTCGAAGAAGCGCGTCGCGACGGCACACACGTGTGTTTGCTTGCGTAGAATGAAACTCTCTGAGTAAATGCATATGTAAATATGTAGAGAACAGCTTACAGTCTGGGAAAACCGTACGTGAAAAGAGAAAGAGTGATAGACGATTTATGTTTTCGCGCGACTACGACGAGACGCGAGTGGGCGCGCGAGGCTGGGATGAGGAGAAGATGTGAGGGGGATGCCGTGGAAACTGGAAGAGAATGCGAGGAAAGGCGAAGAGGACCGAGAGCAGAAGATATAAATCGTCGATCTTAGTGATAAAAAACAAAAAAAAAAAGAGAGAGAGATTTACGAGATTTAACAGAAGGATAAGGCCCGCTCAAACGAACGTTTTTCTTGGCTGTATCGCACGCTCAGGGTTGTAGTCCGATCACACACGTCTTCCTGACGTCACTCCAAACGAAAGGGATAACATTTCGTGCTCAAACAAACTTTTCTTACTATCAACTCTTTCGAACGATTTATCATTGGTCATTATATAATAAACACAATATAGAATGTATTACTATAGTTAAACATGATTGAGAACACTCTTCAACACCTGCATAAGTTTTCTTTCATTCGTCACTAATGAGCTTCACGAGCTAAATATATTTATCCATTAGCAAAACGATTCCCTCGAGAATAGATTCGGGGAAAATCCGAGGATATTTTCTAGGACTACACCCCTATGCACACACGATTACACACCTATAGTTGCTATGCTGTGCAGTCTACGACACGGAATGAGTCTTGACACGAATAAAGCTGAACCTCGAGGACTGCTCTTAGTTTGCTCATTCTTCTTCTTCTTCGTTTTATCTCCTCGACAAAACTCCATCGTGAAACCGCTTCTGCATGCAAAATTAACTTTGCTTCCGGCTCTTCATGACTACCGACGAGTGGGGCACGAGGGTTCCATTAAAAGACGTGGGAAGAGCTCGAGCATCTATACTTAGACACTTTTCGAATCGAAATGTCAGTTCTACGTTCACTTTGCAAATGCTGTTGAACTTAAAACAGAGCAATGGAGAATCTCGGATATCAGACTGTACAAGCTGTTGCCCTATTTTGATGTCAAAAATTGTTACTGCTGCTTTTTGTTTATTGAATCTTAAAGAAAGGGCTTATTTTAGAGTTATCAAATATTCAGTTATCTCTTCTAACTGCATTTAATCTTTACTTTCATTCACTCTTGTGTTCAATATTATTTTTATCAATTCCATAATTATTGATATTTTCCGATCTCTCGAACAATTTACTCAATATTTTCGAGTAAATGTATAAAATTGATATTTTATCATATTGATATTGTGTTTTGGATTATGGATATTTCCATAATCGATTCTCCAATAATATTGCTCGTTTACGCGCATATGCGCGAAAATACCTTCAATAATTGTACATTGTGATAACAACTCTTATCCGTCTGTTCGCTCGGGCGAATTTTCAAGAGCTTTGTCGAAATTATGAAAACTAGGAACGTTCGTTACCACTCGCCGGTACGGTAATCTCGGACCCTCCGGGGTCACGAAGCGCGGAGGAGTTTAAAACTAGCGTCATATATTTTAGGAACAAATAGCGAAGGAGAGACAGGTGACCGGTCGCATACAGATCCAGGTCTCGTACGAGGCGGAACGCAAAGAATTGGTCGTCTCAGTTTTTATGGGCGACGACCTGTGCGCCCGAGAAGACATGGATGGATTCGGCCCCTTGCCGGAGGCTTTCGCCAAGCTCGTTCTTGTTCCACCGTGGTAAGTCTATGGTCATCCCGTAAATTCCCCGACCGGATATATTTTACACTAGACGTGCCGGTCGAACCGAAATCGAATCCCAACCCGAAGAATTTATTGCGTGCCGAAGCGAAATAACAATCGTAAATTCGTCTTGCGATACTAAGAAAATCCGTGTATAGAATCAAATAAATAACTTCTACATCGCCTTGTAATGTTCAAAAGCAGCTTCGCGCAAAAACATATAACCTATTCATTGTTTTCTTTAATGCTTTTTTCGAGGATTCCACACATCCAAATTCATTTCTTGTTTATCCATCGTGCTTGTTTTATCAATGTCGCGCTGCGACGATATCTATATTCAAAATGGCATGTTCATTAATCACTAGTGGCCTTTACAGCGGCGACGCAACTCCACTGAGGACCATGGTGGCCGAGCCGACTCAGAAACCTATCTGGAACGCCACATTGTTCTTCGCTGGAGTTGCCGGCGAAAGTCTGATGGAACGTGCGATCGAGGTAACTCTCTGGGATTACTGTCCCGATGGCGATAATGTGTTCCTCGGTGAATGCAACGTCAATGTCCAGCGAGCGCTCGAAAATGACAGAGCTGTCTGGTAAGTGCTTTTTTCACAGGTTGAAGATTGCAGGATCTTACACCCCAGTTAGATGCTCGAAAGACATAATCTAGCGCGCGATCTAACACGTTAATTATCTGCGATAGAATTATCGGATAAAGTGTTGAGCTAACTGCAGTATCTCCGGGAATTTTCAAACAGTCTACCGCGTGATTTAGTTGCGTGGTTTCGGAAGAATATAATTATAAGTTACACTCTTCTCCTTTCATATCGATATGTCAAGCTTGTAACGCGTACACGATATCTCTCCGCTTTCCAAGTTCTCCCAGTTCTCCACTTTCAAAGTACTTTCGCTAAGTTCTCTTGCTGACGTCTACAAGTTAAAGTAACGTTGTACACATCCGCGAAAAATTTCAGGTATCGACTGGAGGATCCGCGCGGACTTCGAACGGGCAAATCGCCGTACTGTTCACCGCGTGGCTCGCTGTCGATGGACGTCGCGCAGAGATTGTTGAGGAAGGAGTTGCGCGATCGTAGCTACAGCGACGACACTCAAAGCGACAGTGGCAGCCCAGAATTTGGCTTTCTACATCCGGACCACGCCTGGCACGCCAACTCCAGACGTGGTTCCAGTCAGTCCGAGCAACTCGAGGTCGAGCCCTACGAGCTCAACCGGGATTACAGCAGATCCCTGCCGGGTAGCCGCAGGAGCAGCTTCCAAAGTCAGGGCGGCACTGATAGCAAACGTGAGTGTCAGAGATTCGGGCAGAGATTCGACACGGGCCATTTTCCTCCACGTGAGACAAATTGTCAGCGGGAATGTAACGACGCGTCAATAAGAGGATCTCGTTCCTTCGAGTAATTCTCGTTCAGTTCCTTCTTCCGGGGGAATTAATACGGGAATTTAATTGCGGGTGTGTTTAATGTTGAAGTCGAGTCAAGGAAAAGTACGATCTTAATCGCGAGAGGATAAAATTGTCTCTCTCTCTCTCTTTCTCTCTCTCTCTATCTATCTATCTATCTATCTATCTATCTATCTATCTATCTATCTATCTATCTATCTATCTATCTATCTCTCTGAGATTTTACGGTAATAACCAACGTAACTGTAAGACCGAAGGATAAACGACATCAATAAAGAAAAAGAAATATCGGAGGAATTCTTTTCAATCGTGGAGCAAAATAAAAATTTCAAGTTTATCGAGTGCGACATACTTGGCGTTAGAAGATTATCGTGATACACGCCTCTTCTATAACGGTCGATATATCTCCGAGTCGACATGGCAAATAATATCATCGGTAACTACAATTGTGTCAAGCGACGCGTTCGATGCACACAAATAGAAGAAAAGCCCAGGGAAAGTCAGGGAAGCGCATTTTCTAAAGACCCTCTTATCGAAACTTTCGACGTAGCTCACAGACATTCGACCTAATAAATTTCGCCCCGCTTTCCCACCGCAAGTTGGCTCCTCACCCTCTTCACAGACTTACCCTTCTTCCACGCCTTTTCAAATACATCTCAAGGATGATAACGACAGTGGCTAGCCGCGATGTGCTATTGTTGGGTAGTCTCGAGCGCTTCTTGCAAGCTCTTGGCACACTTAAGGAACAGCTTCCCAGATTACCACTACCTATTCGATTACCGTCGCCTCATAGGACGCTCGTGTAACGTTGTAAACAGCAAAAATCGATGCACGGCGGAGTAGTCAGCGAACGCCAGCGTTAAAGTAGCGTTAAACAAGCGGAGGGATGACAACGTCGTCTCTTTAATAGACACCACACCCGCGTGATATAATACGTATTTAATTATCGTATTAAGCGAGGTCGGGTTTTTAAAATTCAATATTCGCTGGTATCAGTTACGATCGAGATCGGGTTATGAATAAAAATCATTATTAATTAAGTCTAACTGATGGAATTCTTCTTTGTCACATAAAAACCAAAATCCGTAAAATCCTCGCGATATCACTTTAATTTGGTAGGTTTTACTTCAAAATACTCTCCTCAACATTTTCTCAAGTTGTTGCTGATTAATTCTGAGCTTGTTTGAAAATTTATTCTTATATATTTATAAATTTTTCCAGGTGGAAGTATGGGTGAAGTCGATATGCCTGCCGTAGTGTATTACAATCGCGATCGACGACGGAGCTCGTTCACCAGACCTATGAGGGATCCGGAGGAGATCCTGGAAGGTCTGCGATCCCTTAAAGCGGTCAAGGGCGAGCTCAGCAGAACCATGAGCCTTACTAGCGACAAGAGACGCGGCAGCCGTGAGTATAAACGTTTCTTTGCTTCTCTCAGCCATCATTTCGCTCGTTCGTCCGTCCGTCTGTTTGTTTGTCTTTGTACCTCTCCATTCGCTCGTCACACCTATCTACGCGATTCCATTTTTATAACGCTACTACTACTACTACTACTACTACTGCGATACTTTCTCTTTCTCTCTTTTTTATCACCGTTTTTTACTATGTCGTTGAACGTCTCATCGCGTCACTATCACCCGTCCGACCGACATCGAGTCTCACTAATGACGTCCGTAACACCATAGTCTTGCATCTAAATGTATGTAAGTGTGCGAGTGTGCGTGTGCATTTTATCTGGGTGTTTGTGCATCGTCTCACACGCGTGGCCGCGTCCGATCACATTCGTGTCTTGTGTGCGTTCCACATGATCATCCGCTTGTTTCTTTTTCTCTATTGGTGTTGTTTCCCTCAGTGTCTCTCTTTCTTCATTCTATTTTCTTAATTTTTTAACGATTTCAGCAATTTATCTGCCTGACTTTTTTAAACGTCTTGTTTTTTCTTACTAAAGCTTTAAATGAAACGATTTGAAGTTTGGAAAATTCTGTTCGACTTCTCACGTGAAAGATCATCTCGCGTTTATGTACAAAAGAAAATATAATTCAGAAAAGTTCACAATTAATCAGCGACAACTTGAGAAAATCTTGAGGAGAGAATTTTGAAATAAAAACTACTAAATTAAAGTAATATCGGAAGAATTCTACAGATTTTGGTTTTTACATGACAAATACTAAAAAAAAATACAAAAAAGTTGCAGTGTTATCGAGTAAATTTCATAACATAAAAGAATATTTAATATGCTTGAATACTTCTAGGATAATATCTCAAGATATTGTCATACCATCGGCCAAATACTTCGCATTCTACGCTCCCTTTCCGAATTCTATTCTGCAATCACTCTTTCGGTCATGTTTAATATTATTCCACGGTCTATATGTTTATCCATATCGTGAGTCACACATGCACACATTCTGTAAAGCTAGAGACCTCTCTCTCTCTCTCTCTCTCTCTCCAATTTTTCTATTTTCCTTTTTTGCGGATGTCAATGCAATTACTATTTATCTGTCTCGCACTATGTATCACGTCCCGTCGACCCCGCGCGGTTTGACCGAGCGAACGTACTCGACGTTCGGAGGAATTCATATTTGTTTGCTAAATATCGTATTGTAGTCAATTTATCATATCCGAATCGGACGGATCAAAGCGAAAACAACCCGACCTGGAAAGGACTTCGACGTGACTCCGCCGCGAAATTGGATCGATTTCGTGTCCTCATATGCAACGTCGGCCACAATGACTGTCTTCGATGGCTTTTTCGCTTTGCACTTCATCATATTCCCGATCACACCTCGTCGCTTTCTCATCGTTCACACGCTATGTTGACGATTTCGCTATCGAACTGGACCGCGAGAATCTCGGTCGAACCGACTGTCAGCGAGCAAACTTGCTGCCAATCTGCGCGGAAGACCCATTGGCGAATCGAAAGCGGAATCGAGTGCAGGATCGAAGAGGCGGATTCGTTCAGGATCCACCGAGATGATCCATCACGCAGTGTTCCGCTTGAATTTGCGAGATTTCGCCTAGCTCGTCGATCATTCTTCATCTTTTTTCGTCTCGTGGAATCATCGTTCCGGATCGATCGGTCCGAATTCGGATCCACCTGACCGAAGTGTATTTCCATCGAGCATAACACCACTGTGTGCCCATTCTCGTGCCTCTATGCCTGTTTTCCGCTCTGTCTCGGAGAAGCCGCTGTTCGTCCTTCTACGACCTCTAAGCCAGCAAAAGACAACGCGTTCGCAATTATGTGCCCTTTGCCCTTCTATGTTGCGATTACTGTTGCGCCGCTGCTGCCTGCCGCTGATTGCTCGTATCGTCTCGCCAGCCTGACAGTAATGACTCGACAGTATCGACCCTCTTCTTTTCTCTCTTTTTCGCTGCACTTCGGGCTTTCACGAGGCGAAAAAGAGCAATTATATCGTCACGAACGACATCGGAAAACGTAATTCGCTATCGTGCTCCTGAGCCGTTGCACGCACCATGTATAAGTCTATACGCCATGATCTTTTCTCTGTTTCTCATTCTCTCTTTCTTTCTCTCTTTTGCTCTTTCTCTTTGTCTGTTCTTGCGCTATTCAGCCTCTCATCCGCTCCCCCGGGTGTTGTTTGCCGCATTTGAAAGCACGTCAAGCGTGCCAAGCTACTATAATCGCGACGTATGGTGATCCTTCTGTCAGCCAGATTATCGCTTCTTCATCGTTGAGACTCGATGGTCGCTTCAGGTCATGACTCGCGCGGCAGGTGGTGAATGCGCGCGGGACGGAATCGTGACGATGACGCGCTGAACGACTGCGAAATTATTCTCGCGATATTTCTGTCAGTCCCGACGTGACATACCGAACATTACATGTCATCTCGCGAAGGCAACTCGCTGCCGAGTTTGAATAATTTATAAACTCGTTCACGAAGGACGTAGCTTATCGTGTAACAGGGTGGATTGTGCACAGCTGTGGAAACGGCTAGATCCTGCTTGTCCGCGATGTCGCGTTAACTCCGCTAGTTGTACGAGCAAATACAGAATTACTGTCATTCCCACTCGCTTGGTGCTGTAATGAAGACTCGCGGTGAACTTGCATTACGCATTGGAGTACGCCGCGAAATAAATGAGCAATAAGCCGGCTGACGTTTTCAGGGGCACACGAGAACGTAACGAATTCCGGCGTGACGAGTCAGAATGCTCCTCACACAATCAACCCCCATCCGCCCACGCTACTCGCTCGGAATAAAGCGTCATACTAACTCGTCGCATGTACACGTCTAATCCGTCGCCTCATCGCCGGCAACCGCGTCGTCGACCACCCGAAGCGATCATTAAGTGGCCCGAAGAATCGCAATCACCCATTCAGTTTCTCGTCCTCCTCCTCCTCTACCGCGCGTTGGCTGTATGCATCTTCGTTCGCATATGTGCACGGCCGAACACGGCGTGCACTTTGAACTTGACTCCTCGATGTATTGTTGATTATGTTGGTATCCTTTCTCGGTCGGCATTGCACCGTCCATCAATGCAAACTGAACTCTGAACGCGTTACTCGACTCGAATCGCTCGAAACGTTCGGTTCGCTCGGTCGAAACGCCATCGGCCATCGTCACAACCCCGATTATCGACGACAAATCGTGGGCCACGCACGTACGACCAACCAACCAACCAACCAACCAACCAACCAACCAACCAACCAACCAACCAACCAATCAACCAACCAACCAACCAACCAACCACCATCGACCAACGACAACAGAGTGCGTAGTCCCAACAGTTACTGTGTGGCAGTGCGAGCCTGTGTCTCCGAGGACCGGTAACTCGGCCTCCTTCCCACTGCCGCACTCCACACCACCTCGATAAATAACCGCAAGGCACTGTCGAGCAACGTTATGGGCTTCCGGTAAGACACACTCTTTCTCTGTCGCTCATTGTCTATTGCTCTGTCTCCCTGCCATCCTCGCTCTTTCTATCTGTCTACCTGTATTGTATCTATTTTGGGCGGGACGTTGCTTCGAGTTTTTGCCGCTTTAGTTCACCCCTTTTATAACTAGAGCAACCTTACTTATTTCGCAGCGGAGAGTAAGAACAGGGTAGGTCTTTTATTGATAGCGCGGAATGCACAGGCAAGCGTAGCAAAAACACGTGAATGTATCTTCGATAGAGAGTATTGTTCTACGACGTTAGGACATGACTTGATTCTTGATTTTCGTGTTTTTGTTGCTTGTTCGATCAGTTCCTTATCTTTCTCCCTATATCTTCCTTTCGTCCACACGCGCACGTGCCGTTAATTTCTCTTTCCTACGATACACCCACGCCACATTTTATTTTATAGGGACGCACGCAACGTCGTTAATCATAAGGTCAAGATAGAAACGCGCTAAGCTCCAACCGCGAAATATTTTCTTTCCCTTCGTGCGCATTCTCACTAATTTTATCGTGCTATAATTTCTCACGGCAAAAATAACTATGCTTCCGTTTCGCAACATTTTTTCCCGGACATATCGTTACTTTTCGCACTCATGTTAATTCACTCGCGTCACATTTTACCTCTTTCGCGTCCCTCCTTATTTATTCGTCTGGAATGGAATTATTCTACGTTGAGCTTCAGCCCAATTTTTTGCTCTTATCTAATCAATTTGTCTACCACTTTCTCCTTCTTTTCTCAAGACTATATTTTTTAACAGATCTGAAGGGAACAACTATATAAAAGACGCTACAGGCAAGCTTTCCGTTAAAACTGCCATTATATGATATTACACGAACTTATCAACTATTAGAATTTTTTTAAAGCAGCGGCTGTTGCCTAATATTCATCTTACAATTCCATCAGTCAGTTATTTCTCACTAGCCTAAGTAACACGTTGTGTGCAGAAATTACACGCGAAATGTTTCGAGTCATCTAATGGGTGAGTAGCAGAAAAAGCATCTTATCTCCACGTCCTGCCCCCTATTGAAAGCCTCGACTATTCACTTATCGTTTTTGTTTTTTTTTTTTTTTTTTTTTTTTTTTTTTTTCTTTTTCTCTCTTTCTTTCTCTCCTTTTCCCTTTCAAGTCGTTTCTTACATTAGAGCGAGTTATGCTTCAGAGTATTCGCTTGAATTAGTACTAATAGCATTTGTAGATAATATGAACGTTAGTCACTTGCTACCATTATCGCTACCTCGAATCGTGATCTTAGGTAAGAGGAGTCAAGAATGTCGTCGTATTGTTGCACGTCTTTCAAGCATTTCATCGACGTGAGCACCTTATAGTAGTATTTTGCTAATATCGTTGACTTATCTAACAAACTGTCTTGCCCAGTATTTTTATACTCTCTCCCTTTATACCACACATATTGGCTCGCAATTGTTCCCGATCTATAATTCTTGGTTATTCTTAATTGTATGTGTACTTTAGAGACTTTCTACTTCGCAAATGTGTCCAATTGAAAATGTACGTTCTGTCGACGAAGACTTAAAAAGAGCGGATGTGATTTTTATAAAAATATTTTATGATTTTATGAAATTTTATGAAATTTTACATTTATGGATATCGAGACGCGCGCGATAGGATATCAATGTATAAATATAGGTTTAACTGATCGTGTGAAATTGATGAATTACATCTCTTTTCGATTTAATGCTAAATATTACTTTCACGTTACTCAATTATTAATTATGTCGATGCTAAATGCTACATCAATATGAAAATACTTCAAACTGCTGGATAAAAAAATTTTTTAGTGCAAGAATTAAAAATAATACAATAAAACGTTATAAAACGTCTTTATACTGTAGAACCGAATGAAGAGTGCAATTTTGTGCCACAAATCACTACGGAATCTTATTAAACCAAATAAATTTCTGAGTCGGAACAATTCATCCATCCCTCAGTGGATTTAGTATTGCCGGTGCAAAAAGGGGAAAGGCGAGCTACGGGTTGAAATTGACGGAAACTGTTACGACCGGAGATATTCATGCCGATAAAAAATCGTTTTTTTACGCGCGGAACTAGTCGCGTTATTTCGCGCCGGACAACCGATACTACTGCAGCTCCTTTTTGACAGCACGAAAAAATCAGGAGGAAAAGAATTACCAAAAAATTTAATCTACGGCATAGACATGAACTCAACGATTAAATTAATAAGGTTTGCAATGAAGTGGCGTCCTTTGGGATTAGAATGATTCGTGTGCCGTGACAAGCAACGAGAAAGCGCAAGTGTAAGAAACATAGCAAGAAGCCTTAGCTGGCGGAATATGTTAACAGTAGAACAAGGCCGAGCTACTGCTAGCTCTCTCTCCGAGCTTCTAATTATCTTATTACAGCTATCGAGACCGAACTTTCCTCTTCGTAGAGTTGAAACTCCCCGCTATCGCTCTGGTACTTTGGAGTCGAAGTTTGTATCTTACTTCTCTCTATGTAGGAAACTCGGGCGTTTGGACCTTATTATATATATCTACCTAATTCGGGAAGCTTCGGTCGTTGAATTTCACGATTCAGCCCGCGGTTACGCCAGCGACAATTGAATTGCTCCCGAGATTTCGAGCATCTATTCCGACGCATCAAAATTGGCACTGTACGTTGACGACGTTAATTTAAAAATTTGCATTTTGTATATGAAAAAATAATATTTAAATATAATCTTAATCCCTTCTACAAGAGAAACCCTTAAAATAAATCTAGAGTTTTTACAACCACCTCACTCGATGTGCCATTTGAGCAAAACGATCAAAACATTAGACTGTCGCGTAAAGAAAACTTTTGAAGTACAAATTTTGAGAGATATATTGTTGAGAAAGTGTGTTAATGTGTGAGAAAACAACTTATTATGGGAATTATACACGAATCGTAACGAATCACTGAAATTCATACGATCGAAGGTGCTTCGCGCAGATGTCTTATTGTCCAGTAGACAGCTTCTCTCAGAAATTTGTCGTAAAATTGAAATTGAAAGGATAAGTCTGTAGAGCTGATTCTTCTGATTGGCAAGGTGTAAATTCTTTTTCTCTGTCTCTCTTTCTCTCTCTTTCTCTTTTCCTTTTCTATCTCTATTTCTTGATAACGACTTAACTGCAATTTGTGTCGCCATGCGCTTACAGAATCGAGTAAATCTACAGATCCACGAGCACTGCTCGGTGAATTGTGTTTTTGTAATAGTATCTTGCTCGTTCGCGCGACGACACGGAAATTGTAGTTTATAATCGGCGACAAATAATCTCAAGAGATATTTTTCAACTCGTAGGGCGGGGTGAGCGCAAAGACAGCGTCATGGAGATTCCAGAGAGATTTTACGATAGAAACAGCGAGTCAGACGAGGACGAAAAATGGAGGTATGGCGATCCATCTCTTTCGTGGCAAGTCGAAACGAATCAATCACTCCATTCTATTCCCGTTTCCGGTGTGTCTATTATCGATTCATCAATTACGCTTTGTGTCATCGCGCGTTAGCGACGTCCTGATTCAATCGTCGCGCATTCAACGATAGAGAAACGCGAACGGAAACTCGGAATTATCTCTACATCGATATCCATTAAGCGAAATTTAATCGAACCCGTGTGACAATAATTTTTGTTATTACAGTCAGCCGGCGGGAAATGAAAATGGCGTCGACATAAAACTGGGTTGCGGACAGGTACCGCCTAAAGGATACAAAATGATCAGTGGTAAAATATTTGCTCGTAACCCTTATCAAAATGAAGTCACTATCTTTATCAATTCTTTTTCGTTTCGCCTTATTTTTATTTCAATTATTTATCTTGTCAAGTATATACTTTAGTATAAATTTTTCAGGTATATATTTGTTTTAAGTATTATACGAAGCGCGATAGTAATAATATAATGACACAGTCATTAGACTACAAGATATAAGATCTATAAGATTAAACTATCAATGCCCAAACACATACTTTATCCTGGATATTCTTATTTTGGTCTTTAAATACAAATATATAAACTTTCAAAACATAGAGAATATATATTAAATGTATATATATATATATATATATTTTTTATATTGAAAGTTTAAATATTTGTATTTTTAAAGACCAAAACAATCACAATGTCCAGAATTAGATACGTGTCCGGGAATTGGTATATTAGTAAGACTTTTTCTAAAATATATTTGATTATAGTAATTCTACTCAATTAATCGATCGTATAAAGTAAACAAAACGATTGTCGCTTTGGTCTAAGAAGCTTTGAAGAGTTTATTTGATCTTCACTCGATCTTGCTTTGCATTTGAACTGGACGTGTCTCTAATTGCAATCGACAATATTGCAGGTGCGCAAAATGGCGAAGTGAAACTAGGCTTCTTTCTCTGCAAAGGGACTCTCGAGGTCGAGGTTATCTGCGCCAGAGGCATTTGTCCCAGGGAAAAGGAGGAGCCAGGTAATTCGAAGAGCGTGCCTCCTCTCTTTACCGCTAATTCTCTCCCATTCTAGTTGCTCTCGCCTGTTTACAGCTACTATAAAATTCTCCCAATGTAGTACCGTTGAGATATCCCACCCAGCTACCGTATCCTCGCGCTAACATTAATTCGCTAAACGTTACGGCGCACCGTTCTATCTTGATTATTCGTGCATTGTTTTACATTTAGAAACAAAATTTTGCGTGGTCGAATCAACGCGCATTAATTGCGACGCCCTAGATTTGCTAATTTGTCATTAGACTTTATATTAAGCGCAAACCTGCGGCAAAACCGATACATAATGTCGTTTATAAGTATCCCGAGAATGAAAACAGATTAGCTCGATTCAATTAGTTCACTATCGCGAAGAAAATTTTAATAAGATATAACACAATAATATAATGCGTCGTTTTGTGTTTCCGCTGTTTAAAGATCCTCCCCAGCTTTAAGGTTGTATGAATAACAGTCACTAGTACACGAATTATTGGGAATTCAAAGGCTGCTCTATAGACGAAAAAAATAACTGGAAAGAACTCTAATTTTCCAGAATTCACACACTAATGTAACTTGTTAAAAATCTTTGAGTTTGTTGCAAATAAAATCGAATTTTCCGAATAGCTGTTCGAATACTAATTAATGACGAGACTTGTGTTTTCCGCAGACACCTACGTAAAGACGTATTTGCGTGACGGAGAAAGGTGGCTGCAGAAGCGCAAGACACGCGTGATACGACACTCGAAGAGCCCGCAGTATCGCCAGACCCTCAAGTACGGCAGCTGCGACGCGCTAGGCAGAGACCTTCTGGTGATGCTGTGGGAGAAGAAGCAAGGCTTCGAAAGCAATCAGGGATTGGGTGGTGCCGAAGTAAACCTCGACCTTCTGCCACTGACGCAAATGACCATCGACTGGTATCCGCTCTTCCCGATCCACACCCTCGGCACGCAGAACGCGGACTCGCCATGATGGTTAAGGGAAAAGTGGGCCCTGGAGGCCGGCGAGCTCGACCTCAGACTGAGCCTTTTGCTCAAAGACGAGGACGAGCCCGTCGTCAAGATCATCTCTTGATGGAAATAGTGACTGATCACATGCTAGCTCGCCGATACGATCTCGATCTCCTCGAGGCATCGGCGTTTCTTTTTATTATCGCAAGTCCATGAATGATGCGACGAAACGCGCGTTGTTCCAGAAGGCGGGCGAAGCTTGCGTGTTGTCGATCTTTCCGTATTTTCGCGGCTTTTCAATCGTCAAATCTTGTTTTCACGATTGCGCGTAAGTTTATTTGCGTAGGAAAGTTTTATTCCATTCGGTCGATCGATAGAAATTGTGCTATGCACGTTGGTTGAATTACGTTAGTTGTATTTTTCATTTCTCCGTTCAACGTTTGTTAACGTTTTGTCAACGTTTGCGCGAAAACAAATGGTAGCGGCAAATGTATGTCTAGAATTACCTAATATCAGAGAGAGAGAAAAAGAAAGAGAGAGAACTGACATATATTTTAAAATATAAATATTGGAAGGATGTTGTGAGAGAGAGAAGTAGTGAAAGCAATCAATAACACGAAAAGATCGACAATGCGCACAGCGCTGAGTGGAAATCGCTAATCACGTAATAGCGTGTAACCGAAAGACAATCAACTTCAGATGGTTTTATCATACAGTTCAAGAAGACAATCAATTTTGAGATTCGTAAAGAGGACGTGAAAAAGAAACACATTCGTTCAACTCGCACTTATGGAACGACGTCACTGTCGCCGCGTTTCGTCTCGGTAAGAGAGTGCAAAGGAATGCGCATATATAGCTTTCCAAAGAACCGAGTTCCTTCGATTAGCGCCTTTTGAGATCCGCGAGTGTCTCGTGGATGATTCGCGGTGATTTTAGCGATAAAGGTGTACCTGCGCAAGCATGTCAAGCGACAAGCAACCAAGTACAATATAAAGAGAACGAGGAGGGAATGTGAAGAAACGTAGAAAGCGAGGGAGAGATTATTTTTCGGAGGTTAACTACGGAAATGGTGACAGCCATGTATCTTGATAATATGTATCCTGACGAGATGACGAGGGTCCATTTTTCCCGAAACAAGGATAATATCGACGAGAACGACTGCGCCGAAGCGAAACTCGATCGACATCTTCCGCTCGCAGCGGTCTCATCTGGTTGATCCAGTCAGTGATTCGATCGAATTTCGTACGCGCTGATTCAATCAATACTGGAGGATCAACAATGCCTGTTAGATCCTTTCCACGTCGATGAGACACGTCCGAGATTCGTGTTTCCTGTTTCTATTTAATGTAGACACGCGATGTGGAGTGCGGAATAAAAATTTACATTTTGTTCCGTCTGAACGCCATTAGCATATACTTGTATATAATTCTAGGTTGTATATCAGATCAAAATTTCCATTGAATTTTAATTCAATTTTCGAATTGGGTCAAATCTTATTCTCTTAAATTTTAAAGCAGGAAACTTAGTTTTCCTGCAATTCTGGTTATTTTGTCGATTACTCGCAGAAACGCGACGCTTTGAATTTACGGTAAATTAGTTAAGTATATGAATCAATATTTTTAAAAATACTATATCTACATTCTAGTTTTCTGCAAATCGTGAGCCGTATCGCAAAATAATTGCAATATAAACTGTGAATTTTATCTTTCAACTGTGAAGATACAATAGGGGAAGTATTTTCAGAATTTGTTAGACACAAAGAGTAGACACAAAGCTCGCGTTCCAGAAGAGCGATAGCGGGAAGATAGGAAACACTGGAATCGCACGGAGTGCCTCGATCGATGTTAATTGCTTTAACTATATAACGGTAGACAATCGTTCCGAGGCTCGCTGGCCGAGCCAAAGACAAACAGAGCAATTTAGCGAGGTGGTGGCGAGACGAGCGGACAAGACGAGGGTGTAACTTCGCAGCCAATTTGAATAATAATCAACCAACCAACCAACCAAAAACTCGGTGTTTTAGAAGTCGCACAATTTTTGTAGCTCGTAGACTGATAGCGGGACTGACAGGCGGATTCCTTCGACGTTTCTCAGATCTAATATCGACGTCCCGTTTCCGCGCGGCATCCCGAGGATCACGATGGCCTCGCGAGGCGATTCGATTCAATTCGCGAGCGCGATTCAATCGGCCACGTAATGCGAAATGTTACGCGCGAAATCTCAGCTTCGAGCTTAATCAACGACCTTGCGGTATGGCACACGGTGATCCTCAGGACGCGTTATTGTGAATGTTTAAATCCCACAATGTCCCGCGGCATTGGCTAGGAATTGTCCAAGATTAATTGCGCTTACCCCGCCCGAGTAATTAGCGATAGGTGATAAACGTGATAATACCGTACAGAGTTAATTAATGGCACCTCCACGATGATCCATAAATTATATCTAACGAGATTGAAGTTTACGGATTTATTATTGTAATCAAGTATGGTGTGTGTGCGCGCGCGCGCGCGCGCACGGACGGAGAAATGCAGCGAGATGTCTTAAGAGTTAAGTGATGTGTTGTGTGCGTGTATAGCGGTAACCTCTTACGGCGTCGAGATCGACCCGGGACGTATGTACATGCACATCTATGTATATATATATGTTATCGTTTAAATACGTGTATAACAATACGGTATATATAGCGTATCTACGTATCACAATACGTATGTGGATACGCACTCGTATCCCATGTATTGTTCTATGTATTGTTATGATCTGTGCAGAAAAGGGAAATTGTATAACGAAGGATAATCAAAATGTGTACATGTGTTTAAACGATACGATGAAGATAATACAGTATCACTGTCCCATATCATTAAACTCAATGTTAAACGACGTAGATGTTTAAGGGATGTCAACGAAAGTGCAATCGAACATTTATTTTCGCAAGTCGACGTCGAAACGAAATTCTCAACGACGACATATACGTGTTGCAATTCTCACTTACGATTGTATTATTAATCATTATTTTCGTCGCGTATGTTCTCACTGATTGTGCTCTCCTTTTGTAAACGTCGAGCCAGTGAAACATCGAAAGGTTCTGGCAAAAACTTTCGTTCACACGAGGCCCGATTAATTAGAACGTCTTGCGACTAGGATTCCTTTGTGATCTCTGAAAACGAAAGACTTGTTCTCATTGCAAACGAAAAGATGTGCGAAGCGGAATCGCGAGCGCTCGAGCACACGAAGAAAGTAACTTTTTAACTTAAAAAAACACAGAGCGTGGGAGCATATCGGCCCGAGGAGACACTTGACTATGGTTGTGCTGTTCACACACTTCTTGTCGATATAATCGTTTCATATCGGTCTCTCGCCTCGAACGCCAAATGACGTGTCTCACCGCGAGAGTCATAACGAGACGGTTGTGCCTTTGCGAGGGCTAAGTCAGAAACGTATCGCGAAAAACGATCGTGTTCCCACGAAGGAAAGTCTATGATCGGCCTAGAAATATATCCGAACGTCACGAATACCGAACAGACGGGAATTCGATTTTTGCCGCGTTACCCACGAAATATACGTATACGTCATCGCACGACTATAAACTTTTATAATGTATAGTACTTTCAGTTGTAAATTCGTAATTCTAGAACCGTAAACACACCAAAAAGTTACGTAAAACCTGAACATGAATAAATCTTACCTAGCGCATTTTCACTTGTTCCTAATTTCCGTAAGAATAATCAAAATTCAAAGCTTTTTTTTTTAATTGATGTAGGAAGCATTGAAGAGTATGAAGACTATTAGAACCGGCTTTTCAATGATAGTTTAAACTTAGATTTCAACTTAAACTCTGTTTAAACAAAACAAACGTATTGTTAGAATAGAATTTAACTTGAATCCAAGTTTAAATTGCTATTGAAAAACCGGCCCTCAGTGTTTTCGCGATTCAATGTAATTAAAAAAAGTTGTAATGAAAATATAAAATATTTGCTTTTGAAAACGATTACGTTTGAGAGATCGGTCTGGGCAAATTTTATCCATGTTTAGAATTCTAGGATTAATGGTACTTTACATATGGGGCCGTTAATACCTTAGGTAAACTGTTAAGTTAATGAAAAATGTGACTACTTTCAAACTCATTAATTTTTTCCATACGCAGCAAGTTACGTTTGAAGTGCAGAAGCAAAGAGAAATAATTTCGGAGTAATCTTAACAAACTACGTAACCAGAAAGTACAAACGCGGACAAATATCGAGTAAAAGAGATATTCGTGGCAAGGGTAAAAGAGAATTGGCGAAATTTTCGGCAAGAGAGAGAGAAAGAGCAAAAGTGAGAAAAAGATCAAATTAATTTTCGAGCGGATGCAGCATCCGTCGCGGATCTTTGTCGAAAGTTTCCTCATACGAAGATTATCGCATGGACAATCCTCTCGTACGAATGCAATTATCTACTACTTTAAAACGGAAGACTTCTCCTTCGTAAGTAGCTGAGCGCGTTCTAGGCACGTTTTCTACTAGCCTTCAAAGTGACCTAATACTACCGTTACTGCTACTACTATTACTACTACGATTGCTACTTAACATTATCGATACTATCGTTATTACTATTATCACTCTCCAACGCTGCTTATTCTCTCTTCTTCTTCTGACTAAATACGCACTTGCAAGATCAAGGAAGACGAGACTCTACATTTTATAGCGACACTAGTTCCAACTCATTAACGTCAACGACGACCGCAACGGTCAACTTAGGGATAACGCTTTGCTCCCTGAATTATCGTTTTCCGGACAATCGAGTCCGAATCAAATCAATATCAAATCAGATCTAGCGTCTCTTCTACGTTTAAGTGTGTCGTAAAGTACACGAAATTAATGCAATAAAAGTTCCCAAAAAGTATAAAAAAATAAAACTTTTATATTCTACATATATATTACACGTTATATATATTATTATAACTGATCGATCGTGAAAAACAATACTTCCAGAGCGACTTCAAGAATGCTCGAATGCAAACAAATAATTTTTCTCTCAGGATAAGATGAATATATCAGCGCATCTGGTTAGAAATCTAAATGCCAAATTTACTGCTAATCTAAAGAAATTCGGTATCCCAAATGAAATCGCTAATTAGAGAGCAAAGGGTTAAACTGCTCTTTATACGCTCTATGCTTCACACTTTTTGCGCGTTTTCTGAAAGTCTTCTAATAGCCGACGAGGAGCTCGAGCTTACCTTACAATGAAATCTAGACACGCTAGAGAGAAACTTCGACTTTTTCTACAAGACAGAACGCTAGTATCTTGAAACTAGAGTGTGACTCGAGTCTGCCTCACTACTTTAACTTCTACGTCTACTCATGTACGACGAACATGTATACGCACATCCACACATACGCACACACACGCATGCACACATTCACACGTGAACTTATTACATCATACGTTATGTATCAACCTTGACAATCGAGAACTAATTCAAACTTACGCTACGAATCTCTAGACGATAAATATATCGTACTTACTACAATTCGTGCCACACGGGCCGTGTGTAAAATATTTCTAGAGACGAGCACACGCGTCAGCGAACTCTATTGCATAACTGTACATTCGATATGTATTATATATTGTCACGATTGATCAGTCTCGCGGGGGCAAAAACGTTTCTAGAGTAACTAACTCGGGGAGAGAGAAATAGATTAGAAGCAAAAGTGATTGTCTGACTATCGAAATGAGAATATTTAGCGCGACTGGTCGCCTCATCGAGAACGCCGTTAATTAAGCGTTATAAAAGCAACGGCCTCTTCCCGTACATATCTATGTTGTACTCGTTCTAACATGTAATTGTAAGTGTCAGGGACAATCTCACGGGAATTGTGCGTGTGTTCATGTGAATCAGCGCGCCACTTTTCCGGCCTGCGTGAAAGCAGGAAAGCGGGCTCGCGTCTCGGCGATGCGAATCGATTTCGCGTCCGTTCGGCAATTTATCTCAGCGATTCAGTATCGTATGGTTGATACTAAAAATAGTGGAACAAATCGAGAAAGAGAGAGGGAGAGAGAGAGGAACAATTTAAACGGACGTAAAATCGAGTCACGTCGTCGCGCTCTGCCACGTAATAAAAACGGAAACGTCGCGCGAGGAAAAGGAAGAAGACGGCCACTTTGCCGACCGCAGCCCTTTCCCTTTCGCTCACTACTCACGATCGCGATCGTGAATATTATAATTTCCATCCCCGATCGGCCTAAAATCACGTTCGAACGTATCGTGAGGGGGCCGGACAGGCCCGAGGGGCCCGTCCACCCGCACACGAATGCTTGATTCTCGTAGATACGCGATTAACCGTTACATGCGTGAACGTCTAAATACTAATCGTTGAAACTGAGAATTTGTAAAGCGTGTAATTAAAGGAAAACGAATGCGGGGGCGGTTTCGAGAGGTGAGTGGAAAGGCGAAAAGCGGAAACCGAGACGGACGTACGTGAGAGATCTTAAAAAGACGAGTTACAATAATCATTCGGGACCCAAAAACGATTTCGCCCACGGAACACCATTAGGGATCGGTAGTTAGATGTGTTTAGCGTTAGTCATCCTGTTGAAATTATTAATTGTCGGAGCCGACTGAAGCGATCCTCAGATCGCACGGCATGTCCTCTTTACGATTAGAAGCAGGTATACCTACTTTTCTCAATTAATCTATTTCCCACGTTCTACGCGGCACTGTCGTTTCTGCCTCGACATGACTCAAGATTCCACGTACCGAAGCGATCGGGCTGTCCTTTCTGACATTCTCCGGATTTCGTCTTTCTCATGTGTCACTGTCGCTAGTGACTACGTAGATACGTAGGACTTGGCGCGATAGACGCGCTAAGAAATTCTGCCATTTTCTCAACAGCCATAGGGATGGCAGTTTCGAAGAGAAAAAGAGTCTCGTGAATGTACAGTACCGCTGATACCTCTCTCGATCGTGACACGTTGCAAGCTTGTGGATTTATATTTGCAGAATGGAATAGCGCTTACGAGAATCGTGATATTCGCTCATTTCAAAGTGAAAGTTATTCACCTCAGTGATCTTCTTTCAAATATCGTGATTGTTGATAATATCAAATATACATTCGCATCTTTTTGCGCACGTGAGGAATTTTTATATTTTTAAGCGTTTGTTCTTAGCCACGAAGGAGATTCGCGATTATACGCGACTGGTAATTTTGATTTGATCTTAATTTGTCACATCTCAATGTGGAAAATCCACATTCGTGGAGAGTAACACGCAAACGACTGACAACGTGTCAGCGAGAGAGATATCGAAGAGAGTATCAGCGCAAGAAGAAACATACTATGGCCTTGTAAAGTCTTGTATAAAAAAAAAGAGGGCAAGCGTTTCGGCGATTCTTCTCGCTTCATCATTAGAACTATTAGAGACTTTAGGATTCTTACGATTTGCGAACGATCATCGCGCACGTGCGCGTTTTCACGAAGAAAGCGATTCGCGGGGAAAAGAAAGAGAGAAGGGAAAAAATGTCGTGACATAATGGAAGGGACACCCTTAACGTAGTTAAAAAGACGTAGATACGATTACGTGTCGTCATATAACGAATTCAATGTGATGTTCCCTGCATGTTGAGTGTTGATCGTCGCGCATGTGGATTAGAATCACAGCGTGTGGTAGAAATTTACGGGTTAATCGAGTACGGATAATTAGCGGTTAAGTGAGCTGCGATCTACTTTCTATTGGTTCTGCGGCGTTAGCGTAGTGTTCTTGATTGGCGTATTAAATGATTGAGCATCGACTCGTCGACAATGCGAGGAAGTTATCAGGTCATACAGCGTATATACTTCGAGATGCCCCGCGATTTAAAAGTGAGATTTCAGAGCTTGTGACTTGCAACAGTAAAAACGGAAGCGATTGATCGGATTTCTTTACTACTGAGAGTTCTCTCGTGTTTGTAAAAAGAAGAGAAAAGAAAGGAAAAAAACTTGCTCGAGTGAACCACGCAACCTGATCATTTAATGGATAATCTTTTGAAACTTTTATTTGCTGAGAAAAGCTTTCAATGGTAAAAAAACAGCCGAGGGCAATTTTCGACAATGAAGCTCTCGGCTCTCGCACTTAGCGCGAAACAAGAAAACAAATGTAAAAATTGCCTCGAAAGTTCCTCGCGATCGATGAATCGAAGTTTCACCTACTAATTGGTTAACCGATTTAAGCTTTAATTAATTATCGCCGACAGATGCGAACGGGGACGAGCGAGTTCATGAGCACCTCGCTTTTTGTTTCCCTCTTCCTCATTCGCGTCGTCGAAGAGAAAGAGCTATGTAGGTATCTTATATAACTTCTATGATATTTTCTACGAGGAAGAATCGTCAAAAAGATTTCTATTCTAAAGATTAAAATTAACAAATGACCAAGCACTAGACGCGGTCGCTGTTGAAGAAGACTTTGAAATTTATGTCCATTTTACGATAGTGTCCACTGTCTTGCGATCTTTATATTGTCACGCGTACTTAAACGTTTGATTTCGTTCTAAACACGTGTACAATGCATAACGATGGAGCATACTGGATTGTTGCTACGTACATTCGGTTGCACCGTTAATGGTTTTCGATCGATGGCGAATCGATGAGCGACAAAAAAAGAAGCGTAAGGGTTGTGATTAAGTAATGACGTAGCGATTAGACTAGACACTTTGATTCATTTTCCTCCCGTGGAAAGTCATATTTTTCTACGCATCAGAAGTTCTATCATAACGAGCAATTTAGGCATGTATATGTATAACTATCAAGAGAGTAACGGGAGCAAGTCTCACTATCTGTGAAACTTGCGAAAACGCTGTCGTGAGCATCTTCGATTGGCCAACGATTAAAAAATCGTTAATAAATACATTATATCGTAGCATATGCTTCGTATTTCCGGATTAATTTGCGAAAGATCGAAATCACGACAGTGATGAGTTCGATCGTGTTAAAGAACGATTACGCAGAAAAAGACGATACAGAAGATATAAGAACGAGGAGTGCCAGAATAATAAAACGTGCAGCTCGCTTTGTGGAAAAAAAACACTTGTAACATAAACGAATAAAAAGAAGAAAGAGAAGCCGAATAGTCGACTTCTATTTGCCTTTCGTTCAACTTTTAGTGCCAGTCCGTATGCAACGCGAATATTCGTCGAATATATTATATATATTATTTAAAACACTATTGTATCAAAAATAGTTCCGCTCAAATTCTTATCAAATCTTTCAGTCACATTACCATTCGTGAAATTTCTCACAAATTTCAATACCAAAGGGAATCGTCTAAATTCCAATTTGCCCAAAAATTTTATGTCAGAATTCAACAAGTTACTTGTCGTTTTTCTCTTTATATGTCGGACGTCACGTATATTCGTATATCGAGTGGTACTAACATAACAGCGTATAGGACTGAAAAATGAGGAGTGTATTCGATTTCCTCGGAGACGAGGAAATCGAATACTTTTTTGTTGAAAAAAGTTTAAAGTTGGTAGAACAAGCCTCCTTCGCGAACGAGAGTCCTCGGGTCTATTCGTTCTAGTTGCAATCTCTCCGCTTTTATTCCCTTTTCCTTTTTTCCATTCTACGCCCGATTTCCACGTCAACTAATTTATTTTGAATATGAGATGCAAGTATGAGTGCAAATGGAACGAGTGGACCTTCTAACAGCGACGATGAACTTGAAAGGTGACCGAATTTTTGTAATGCACACAATGTTTTTGCGCTTACGCATGTATCTGTGCGTGCCTATATGTATGATGAAAAGTCACATTGCGAGTCTTCTCGATTTCTTCGTTATTCAGCCTTTTTCGAGGAAATTTGTGAATTTGTGTAAATCCTCCTCACTTCATTAATTTTGTCTCCGTCATACATACTTGTACACGCAGATATACACGATAAACACAAAAACAAGAAAACGATGTATAAAATGAACGTTAGGTAAATATAAACGTGACAAAAATTGAGACGAATTGCTGCTCATTCCTGTAATTATCAGCGATTTGTTCGGTTTTCATGTAAAGCATCAAAATAATAAATGGTATTTTTTGTCGACGTAGTCATCCGATTTTTGTTTTCATGAAAAACTATCCTTTTTTTAGGCATTGTCGCAAAACAAGTGAGAAGTATTGTTATGTGAGTTATATATAAATATAATAAGTGAGTATAACCATTTCGGCCAAACACGCACGGACAACTAATGAGATCAGAATTCATTGCTTATTGATTACAGGTGTGGCGTCATAGCAAGCGAGACGTCACGCAAGATGCAACCCACATTTAAAAGGAACAAGAAATGCCTTATTTGGGGAGCACTTTACGCGCGCCGTCCGCATAGAAAATTCGCGACGCGCAAGTATAATGGGCGAAAAAAGCTATGTTATCTAGTTTACGTCGATCGAGAACTTTCGGCGCCCGTCGCACAATTAGAACAGTCGGTACGACCAACACATTCCGATTTTCAAACCTATTCCCCCACGTTCGTACTTTTCCGAATATTATCGCAGTGTCTCGAGACGGCGAACGACATGCATAACGGAGCCAACGTAGCTTGTTTCCCGCATCCCAATCGTGATAATATGCGCGCGAAACGGTTATTTTCGACTAATTAAAATCACAGATAATACAAAGCAACTTACTAAACCCGCAATCTGCCGCGCAGCCATTACAAAAGAACGGTTGAGATATTTGAACGGCGTTACGTGCAAATTAAGATACACTGAGCGCCATCATACGGTGAACATACAAACTTTGAGCTCGAATTCCCGGCGATTTATTGCGCGAAATATCTACTTTTGACGGCTTACGATATTTCGACATGCAATGGCACAATGCTTATATTCTTGACGCGAATTCGCCTTTATCGACAAGTCAACAGTGCAAAAATTCGCGAACTTCGGATAACTATAACACGATCAACAGGTTAAACACTGACCGATATTGCCGACGGTACATACGCGACATAGTTTTAGCGACATAATCCAAAGATATCTTACCGTACAAACTCCATTCTAGTATTTTGGATAACGGTAATTCGTGTACGAGATCCATTCCAGTCAAAATCACGCGATGAAAAGAATAGCATCGCAGATCTACACCATCTCGTCGTGATCTAGATAAGTGCAGCCATCTGCAGCACAGCGCGAGCAAGAACAGTCGCTGTCCGAGAACTCTCAAAGTTCCGAAATATCGATACGCAGGTGGTCTTCTCTCTCATGAGCTCACAGATGTCTATACTAAAGGCGCGTTCGAAAACTTCAGCCGGATGCTTCTCCTTTCTCTTTATCACACTCCTGTATCTTTCTCATTTCAATGCAGCGAGTGCACCCGGATAGAGTTTTCGAACGCACGCTAAACTAGATTGCTAACAAGGACTTCGAACGTGTGTCGCGTAAAGTTTCCGGTTGCATGCGAGAAAATGGCGGCGTCCTGTATGTGTGACGTATCACTTGTGTGAATATTTACACGTCAATATGAGTAGCGTGATCATTAAATTACTGTCGTAAAACCAAAAAATGCCAGCATCTTATTGCATCAAACAATATCGTGATAAAAAAATAGATGGTATTGGACGTTATTTGCTCTGCTCATTTTCAACAAAAGAATTTTATGACTAAACGTAGTGAAAATATGTGACGGTAGAGGCCATTTTCTCACATGCACCGGAAACTCTATCGGACACAAGCCGTTATATGCTTTTAGATAGCCTGTTAGCGATCTAGGCTGCGTTCCGAAATGCATTGCTAGTACTGAAAATCTATAGTTCATGTTACATATATTATAGAATTTCAGTACTGGCAGCGAATTTCGGAACGCAGTCCTAGTTTAGTATAGACATCTGTGCACGAACTCCACAGTTTCTAACCGCGTAAATGGCGGCATTACAAAACAATTATTATTCAATTATTACGTCGATTATTGGTAGAAATCGTGAAACACGTTGAATATTACGCGTCACAGTCGCCAAGTGCTACTTGGCATGCATTACACTCGTAAAACGATGCCGATGAGGTCGATTAAACATTTTAAGAACTGACAAGATATTCTTGTCACCCATAGAATATTGAGGTTCCGATACAGTGTCGCTTTATACGCGTCTTAGCGACTTTAATAATAATGACGCAGTTATAGAAAGTTCGCGAAGCGTGAAAATATTAGAAAAAGACAGCGTTATCTCTCGCGTCTATCTAGAGCTTCTCTCTCTCTTTTTTTCATGGTTACTAGAACACCACATAGCGCGCACTTTAGCCTTTTCGTTGTACTGTTTACAATTTATATTACAATACTTGTTTTTACAAATTATATTCCCAGCAAACACAATATTACATATAACGTACATGTTAGTTGTAATTTCCTATTCAACAATGTAACTGTTATACAACACGTATATTATATAACAGTTATATTGTTTGTTGAGTAAGAAATTACAACTAACATGTATGTTACATGTAACATTGTGTTTGTTGGGATTACAATAAATATTGCCTTGACAATTCCAAGGCAACGTTCCAAAAATCGCCAGGTCCAAACACGTCCTGACGTGACGGCGGTTAGGTCGGGGTACATATTATGGACTTCTTCGGAATCAATTCCGATCGGAATAATTCCGTTTCCTCTAGGAAAGACAATAGAAATCTGGGAAATAATTGAATGTTTCCGATCGGAATTGAAGAAGTCCATAATAGGTAGCCGGGACTATGGCCGATATTCATAGTCGGATTTTATTTTTAAGGCTGGCTTAAGTTCATCTTCAGATACTCCGTAGCCAATGAAATGATCTGTTCATCATCTGAAGATAAACTTAAGACGGTCTTAAATATAAGATTTGACTATGAATACCGGTCTATCTATCTACAGCCGTCGACATCCGCTACCCGCCCGCCGCCGAGCGATCAACAAGACTGCGTAACCTTAGCAACGCACGCGCCTGCCAGTCCGCATGCGCGTTGCGAGTCGTGTGATTTTCTGCCCATTGTTCCTCAAGACGGGGCGAGAAATGGGCGTACTGCGCGGCGTATTTTCCGTATTCTCTCTCTCTCTCATTCGTCTCAGGCCTGCGTATTTTACGTATTTGGATCGCTATAATCTTTGTGCAAGGTTTATTCTCAAGTAGTTAAAGTGGCGAATAATGTGATCGCGAGTGACTTACTAATGCTTAGAGTGACTTGCTAACTGACACGTTTTCATACAGTATATTGTAATTCATCATATTTTATTAATATTAATAATTGTACGTTGAAATATCGAAGTATCAAATTGAGAGAGAAAAACTTAATATCAGGGGTCAAAAACTCGGCATGCCCCAATCAATACATCATTCTTCAATATAAATGTTTATAATGTTAGTAATAATTTTATATACCTTATACATTATGGAATTATGTACATTATTGAAATAT